TAGGAGATCTGGTGCCCTCTTCTGGTGTGCAGATATACATGGATGCAGAATGTTGTATACATAATAAATAAAATCTTAAAAAAAAGAAAATGTTCTTTTTAATACCATGAACAATTCATTTATACAATAAAATTTTTAAAGAAAAAAACTACAAAAAGAAGAAAGAAAAGAAAAGCTTAAGCCAGGCAGTGGTGGTGCATACCTTTAATCCCAGCACTGGGGAGGCAGAGGCAGGAGGATCTTTGAGTTCAAGGCCAGCCTGGTCTACAAAGTGAATAGAGGCCAGGATAGGCTCCAAGGCTACACAGAGAAACCTTCTCGAAACACAAAACCAAAAAAAAAAATTTTTTTGAGGTTGTTTATTGAAAAGAATGAGTCAAAAGAATGAACTAAGGAGGAGAAAACCTCACAAAGGACCCCAGCCGTTCACCTCCTGTGACAGGATGTGGCGGCAAAAGACACAAGTAGGTTGGGAGGCTTCAGGGGAGCAGTATGAACAAGTCTTCTGAGGGTTCCTGTGACGAGGCTGCACCATAAGGAAGGATAACATCCTGCTGAAGATAATCTCCCATTGCCTAGTTCTAGAGACACCAGTGTGAAGTCTGGTTCCCAGTCAGATGAACAAGGTGTGCTGGTCATTAACTGTCAAGTTGACATAATCTTCAATCACCTGGGAAGAGCCATCATTGAGAAACAACCTAGATCCATTTTGACTGTGGTATGTCTGGGAGGAACTGTCTTGATTGTCCATTGAGGTAGAAGATCAAGCCCACTGTAAGCAACACCATTCCCTAGGCTGGGTCCCTGAACTGTGTAAAAAGCAGGGGTGGTGAGCTGTACAAGCAAGCAAGAACACATTTATTCTCTCTCCGCTGGTGAATGCGGATATGACATGACTAGTTGTTGGAGTCCTGCCTTGATTTCTCCAAAGTGATGGGCTATAACTAGATATTGCCAAGTCAAGTAAACTCTTCAGTTGCTTTTTGTCAGGAAACTAGTTAGAGCAACATAAATGACATAAGAACACAAGATTATCTTAAAATTGCAAACACCTCCAGGGAATGGGGCTGTTCATACTTTGGTACGCAGTTTTCACTCCAAGTACTGTACTTAAAGTGAGAGCCAACTGCTTTTACAGAGTGGGCAGTACCTGACAAGGGGGCTGGATGATGAGAGCTCCTGGGGGTCACTTTGCAAAATCAGAGAAATAGATATGAGGGTGGTCGGGGGATTAAAGGAATAAGCTTCCAAAAGCCAGCCTTGTCCTCCTTGACATTTGTAAATTCCTAACATAGTTGAGCACAATGATACCAGTGCCAGATGCTACTGAGAAGTCATCCAGACACTGGCTTCCTGGGCATCTGAAGCTGGCTCCCCCATGGCCATGGCTCACCAGATGCTCCTCCATCGCCCTCACCTATCAGAAAAGACATTCATTGTCGTTACTAGCAGTGTATCCTTCACCAGGAGGCTGTTTGCTGGAGAAGCCTCTGAGTCTACCCACCAGGTCCCAGCTGCAGCACTATATTCTGTTCAGAGAGCATGGTTATATGTTGTTTCCTGGGTGACTACTGGTAGTCATGGCAACTGCCATTGATCTTCACCTGACTCTTGCCTGGACCCATTTCCCTGGAGCCTGTCCTCAAGGTGACCATTCTCAGGCCTGTTCATGACCTGGATGATGGTTCTTTCTTGTCTTATACATGAGCTGCATGTCACAACTCTACCACTGGTGGAGTCCAGGTAGCACTCTATCTTATCACACCAGCTCTCGCCACCAAATCAAAGAGAACCAACTCATTAAGTTACCCCTTCAGTTTTGAAGTGTCCACTGACTAATGACTAATGGGTAAGATAGTAAGCTAACTATCAGGAAAATGAGAATAACTGGTAATACCCAGTTCCGATCCATCCTACATAACATTAACTACAACTCGGTGGCACAGGTATAAGTATTTCATAAGTATTTCTCTTTTATTCTCATAGTGTCTTTGATGTTGTCCCACGTTTTCAGATGACAAAATTGAGGTTCAGTCTTGACATGTCTTAACATGTAGCTCAGAGAAGTGCAGCAGTTTGTTCTATTGAGACGTAGTTGACAAATGTCAGAACATATCTGGTTCTCCTGCCTGCCTAACTGTCAAGGCAAAATGATCACATTGCTTGGGCCAGAGGTAGCAGGGGTGTTGTTTGCACTGACCTCCAACAGAATCCCTTTCCCTCACCTTTGTTCTTTGTAAATGAAACTCTTATATCCTTTCTTCAGTCTACAGTCAAGTATGTAACATGTCTACCGTGTGAACCAGAGTCTCACTCTTCTCTGCGAGGCAAGCTAGAAATGCATGAAGATAGAAAAGCATGGGCTTGTGTACATAGGCTAGACTCATACATACACTTAGTTCTCTCTGTGTGTGACAGGGGTGTTGTGCATGTGACTGAATGCCCACAGATTTCAGAAGGGGTGGACCCCTTGGAGTTGGAGTTACATGCTGTTGTGAGATACCCTATATGGATCCTAGGAATTGAACTCGAGTCCTGTGGGAGAACAGCAAGCATTCTTAACGGCTGAGCCAGCTCTTAAACCTCCATGAAATCCACTTAATCAAATTCCAGGTAAATATTTTCCAGCAGACGAAAATTAACTTGAGCTTCATGTAGCCTGGAGAGTGCCTGGAAACCAAACCTGCTGTTGGAAAATACCTTATATCAGTGAGGTATTCCACACCCTTGTCAGGGGGAGGCCTGCCAATAAGAACAGGATACCTTGGCTAGATCAGAGAATCTGAACATCCTCCTCTCAGCAAGACAAAATATTCCTTTTACTGCATCTTTCCTCTCCCAACTCCCTGCCCCCTTTTTTTCTAACTCATAAATACCCCTTTGATTATTCCCGTTTGTTCACTGTTCTGGAATGTAATTTTAACTATGTAAAGAGGTGTTACATTTGTTTATGTGCAGAATAGTACTTTAACTGTATAAAGGTGTGCTACTTTTGCTTATGGTCTATGCTGCATTTGTTTAATTATGAAAAGATGTGTTGCATTTGTTTCACCTTGCTTGTCTAAGGCATCTGATTGGTCTAATAAAGAGCTGAACAGCCAATAGCTAGACAGGAGAAAGAATAGGCAGGGCTGGCAGGCAGAGAGAATAAATAGGAGAAATCTAGGCTCAGGAGAAAGAAGGAAAGACAAAGGAAGAGCAAGAGAACGAGGAGGGGATGAGACACACGCTTGGGGCAAGCAGCCAGGCAGACGCCAGACAGACATACAGAAGCAGTCAAAAATACACAGAAGTAGGAAGGTGAATAAGCCCCAAGGCAAAAGGTAGATAAAGAAAAACAGGTTAAAAGAGTTAGCCAGAAATGTGCCTAAACTAGGCCAAGCATTCTCTGTGTCATGGTTTGGGAGCTGATTGGTGGCCCAAAAGAGAAAGCCTGGTACAGTTCAACCCTTTGTTCTCATAACACAACTCTCTGCAGACCTAGGAAGCAGCACACAGCTTAAACACATGCCTTCCAAAGCTACAATATTTCAGAATGCCTTCATCCACCAAACGTGTAACCCCAAGCAGTTTCTAGAAGCCGCCTGTGCCAGAGCCCTCACTTGAAAAAGTGGATTGTGTGAGCATTAAGTGACAAGATATGTGTCCTTGCTTTAATGGCTCCTAACTCATCATCGGTGCACCGTAAGAGATAGCTACTGTTATATACTTTTTCCCCCTTATTGAGCCACTTGTACTTTGTCATCTCATAGTCTGCTGTTGCCATGTGTCTTGGTTAGAAGTTAATCACAAGAGACAACCACCCACCATCACAAGTTAGCCGACAGGAAGCAGTAGTAATTGCTAGTGATTGAAACTGAAGAATAGATCCATTTTAGCAATCACTTTAATGGTGAGTTAAAATCATTGCATGTTAATAGATGTATGAGGGAAGAGACAGAAATAAATGAGGAAAGACTCATAAGGAATAATAAATAAATAAATAAACCCCTTATCTAGTGCACAGCACAATTTGGATGTTAGCTGTAACCCAGAGAAGGGTTTTAAAAGACCGACTGTGCCCTGGGGCATGCTTACGTTTTCCATAATTCTGGATGCAATGCTCCCCTGTGCTCCAGAACTTTAAGCCATTGTGGGCTATGATAACCAGCTTTATTCTTTCTGCTGATACAGCCAGTGTTCTCCTATTCTGACATAATCTGCAATAAAACATCTGGCTGAGCTTCATCGTAATCCAATAAATCCTGTCCCTTCCCCCCCCACTTCCTGCTGACCTTACGCTTATTAGTTCTTCGACCCTTCATGTCTGTGGGTCTTCTCACCCCCAGTCAGGGGACTAAAGCAAAAAAGGCAGATGAGTCATCTAACCCTTGACTAGAAATTTCCAACTCCTCTTTGACATTGGTATCACCTTCCAGTTGCCAGCAGCCCACCCACCCTTCCCACAAAGCCTCAGCTCCTCACTGATTCCTGCCTCCAGAAGGTGTCCTCCTTCCTGTCCTTCTCTCCAGCTTGCACCTCTCTGGTATAGTAAATTGCTGGTATGGGCCAGATTTGAAATGTCCCCTAAAGACTTTTGTCTTGGTCTCCCATGCAGCTGTGTTCAGAGGTGGGGCCTTGGGGAGTTACTGGATCATGAGGGCTCCGACCTCATTGATGGATAGATTAATTTATTGATAAGGGCATAATATGATGGTCTATTGGGAGATGATAAACTATAGCTTGTCCCTCTTGTCCTATTTCCCCTCTTCCTCCCTCCTATCATCTACCATGAGGTCAGCCACTCTGCTTTACTGTGTGTGCACACAGTGACACCCTTCCTCACTTTGAGCCCAAAGGCAATCAACCACGGACTAAAAACCTTGATCCAAAATACATCTTTCCTCTTTCGAAGTAGACTTTTTCCAGACATTGTTACACTGATAGATGTTGACTATAGATAGTTGTCATTAGGTGTTAGAACTAATAGTACATTAATGTGTTAACCCCTGGGGACATCCAACTTGACGGGGGGCGGGGGGGTGTTTTTATCTGTAAGGGGGAATCATGAGAACCTTCCTGCATTATAGCAGTTTGTGGAAAAGGTTTGGAAAACAGGTATCACCTTGAAGAAAATGTCCTAACTCTCCTAAGCAGAGATGGTGCCTTTCTGTCACCTGCTACACTGAGGATCTGCTGTTCTCCTGAGGTACACAAGAGGACTGCTGGACCAGCCGTGGAGTTTACATCCTTTACCCTGAGGCAAAGCAAGAACTGTAAGAACTCCCATTGTCTGGGAGGAATTGTCTTCACTTCAGATCCCCAGGGCTCAGCAAAGACCCCCAAGGAAAGGCAATGCTCCAGTAAGTGACTTTTGACAGAGGTGGATGAGCCACAGATAACGTTCACATAAGAAGAGTGGGTTCATAACTCAAGACATTTGGTAGAAAGACCTATCCCTACATTGCTAGAAACTGTCCCCAAATAGGACTGGAGACACAGCTCAGATGTAGATCTCTGTGTGGCCTACCACACAGAGAGCCACGGGCAGGACCCCTAGCAATACAAAGTAATGAGCACGTGACTCGGAATTCATGCTGCCATTCAGTTTAAAATTTATAACTAGAAAAGGCATCCATTTAAATGAAAAGAAACTGCCCAGATATAAAATGAAGGACCCAGTGAGCCCCCCAGAGAAGGAAAGCCCAGCCAGCAAGATGCCCTAAGTGGAGGGAGGTCTCCCTTTAGAGCTAGGGTGTGGAGACCCAGCTTGAAGCCTCGATGATTGCTTGTAAATAATTAAGGTTTGTTAAGAAGATAACAAGCTGTCTCTTGGGAGCTAAATGGAAAGTGATACATCCCAGGAAGATAATGAAATGCTTGATGGAGCTGGCTGCCTGAGGCACACACGGCCCATGATGGGAGCCCTGGGGAAACCAGCAGGAACGTGGCCACTTAGAAAAAAATCTATTTGCTCAGACAAACCACATATTCTTGCTTAGGGAGAGATGCAGAAGGCCGGACATGTTCTGGTGAGGAGAGTGAGAGGGTTTCTGAAGAAGGCAATTCCCACAGGCAGGAAAGGGTGCCCTACCCATCCACAGAGCAGCCTAAGTGCTCAGCCGGGGACAAAGGACAGAGAAGCCATGGCAGGTCCTAGCCACACTTGTTGAACTGTTGGATCAACATAGATGCTTAGGAATCTGTAAGTTCAGGTCAACTCAATAAATTTCTTGTAAAATCCCAGTCCAGTGCCAGGCCCTGCGGACCTTCCAGGGCTTGTTCATAGTCCATTGTCTCTAGAGGCCCTTGTACCACATCCAGCCCTTACTGTTACACTTTTCTGAACATGCGGATATGAGTCTCTGTGTGCAAGCACAAGATGGCGTTCTCCTCTGTGCAGACTGTTTCAGACTGTTCTAGTACCCGCCACTCACTGGCTCAATGCCCAAGAGGTCTGCACAGAGCTGGGTACTAATTAGGACCTTGTTGATTGAATAGCTTGTGGCATAATCCCTAACAAGAAGCAAGTAGATGTCACTGTCAACCAGCACCCTAATGGAGCCTAATAGAGTGTTAAGAGTAAGTGTGAAAGAGAGAGAAGCAAGAGGGGAGAGGCGCCAACCAGGAAAAGGATTTTAATGGGAAAGCTTATTGAGGAGGTGAAACGGGATATAACCCTTGAGGGATGCCATTCACTCCGTTGGATTCATGTGCATCAGGGAGAGAAGCCAAGATTGCAGACACAACACCATCCCAATCCCATGTGACCACAGACACAGGGTGAATTCTAAAAGAAAACAAACCAGAAAAACAACAGCAACAACAGTTATCTTTGGACTTTGGATGTCAAAAGGCAGTGTGGGGTTTGCCTTTGTGTGATTTCATCTAAGTTCCCTGCAATGAACAGCCAGAGCAGTGTTCTAGCTGCAGAGCCAAGTGGCAGTGAGGAGGTGGAGGCGGCGCAGGCAACATACAGTGCCCAAGAGCTCACCTGACACACGGGAAACAGGCCAGACGACTCCGGAGAAGGTTTCTGTGGTCCCCTCGGGACTGGGGATTTAGGGGCCCCAGCAGCCTACAGGTTACAGAAAATGAGCTTCGAAAAAGGAGACTGAAGATAGAGGAGAACGGAGGATCATGGGATTGAATCAGGACACACACGAGGGTAAATCTCACTCAGGTGTGTTACCCACGCCCTTGTGAGGCATATATCAGCAAACTGGCAGGCAGGTGAGGGGCGGGTGAAGGACAGCAAGCTTCGGAGCACCAAGCCACACTTTACACTTCTCCTCCAGTGAACTGGGTGACCGTCCTAGCCGGAAGTGTCGGTCTAGAATCGTGTCTGTGTCTGCCCATGTCAGATGTGTGTGGCATGCCTGACTCACCAAGGCAGAAGACGAGGAAGTGACCCAAAGGTCAATGGTTGGCAAAGAAAGGAATCGACTTAGGAGGAAGGCAGGTTCCAAGAGGGCTGCTCTGGGGACACAGGGACCTGGGAAAATGGCACTGAAGGCAGGGAGAAGACAAAGGGGAACAAAGCTGCCAACGGAAGACAGCCTGGGACCTACAGCTTTCACCTCCAAGTCCAGTATGTCTCTATAAACCATGCATCTGAAAACTGGAATTCCTACACCCAGCGAAGGGGCAACGCTCCAACTAAAACACAGGTGCTGTGGGAGGAACAGATACCAAGGCACTCTGCAGCAGCAAGAGGAGCAGGTCTCTCTATCTAGCTCATCCATCTCAGGCATCAGACTCTGGACAGACTCCAGACAGGCAGTGCTGGAGAGGAGGGAATGAACTTAGAAAAGTGAAGCTTGGGGCTGAAGAGATGGCTCAGGGGTTAAGAGCACTGACAGCTCTTCGAGAGGACCCAGGTTCAGTTCCCAGCACCCACAGGGCAGCTCACAACTGCCTGTAACTCCCAAGATCTGGCATCCTCACACAGACCTACATGCAGGCAAAACACCAATTCACATAAAGAGAAAACTTTTTAAAAAGAAAAAGTAAAATGAAGCTTGGAGAAGAGACTGTGAAGGCCAGCAGGCTTGTTGCCTGGAAAGGGGCAAGAGGGCAAGCTCACACTCAGTACCACCACCCAGCAGGGATCTAGGCTCCTTGCCAGAGGTGAGAAGATGATGGTGGCAGAGACGGGCACAATTCTGCTCTCTCAGAGTTCAGTCCTCTAGGTGAGTCAGATGGCAATAAATAAGTAATCTCAAAACATATGTGAAACCACCATGCTGCCAAGTGCCTCCCAACACACACACACACACACACACACACACACACACACACACACACACACTCATGCACACACACTCACGCACACACACTAACCAGGTCTTAGGAGCACAAGCCAGTGTCTTGAACAGAGACTAGAAGATAAGCAGCACCAACAAGAAGAAATGGAAGGCGAGAAGAGGTGTGTGAGGTGGTCAGGGGTGGAGAAACAGGCAGGGTGTAGCAACAGGACTAAGGGGTGAGACTTCAGGATAATCCTTCTGTGGACACCCCACCCACCCACACATGCACTACCACTCAAGATAAACCCAGAGGCCAACAGACAACAAAATACTAGGTGCATGAGGGCAGCTTTGGAGAAACCTGCTACTTGGCTGCCTTTCAGCCACATTACCATGGCCACCCACAAATGCCCCCCTACAAAGCAGCTCTGGGGCCACACCATAGACACAAGCATGAGTTAAGTCCAAGCCTAAACGGCCATGACAACAGTGAGCAAAGGAAATCAAGCAAAGCCAACAGATCCAAGCTACAGTGGAAGAGAGCTAAAATTGTCACACAGAGTGTTGACTTGGTTTTAGGTAAAAGAGCAGGGAACCATCAAGGGTGATGGCAACTCATAGTCCAAAAGTTCTTTGAAGCTGCGCTCGTCAAGGACCAAGGTTCGGCTGAAGGTGTGGCTCTGTGGCTGAACATGCTAGCATTCACAAGACCCTCCAGAACCACAAAAAAAAGGGAGAGAGGGAGGGGGAGGGAGGGAGAGAAAGAGAGGAGAAAATAAAGAAATTATTTCCCAGCGATGGTGGCACATGTCTGATCCCAGCATTTTGGGGAGAGACAGGCATAGCGATTGGAAGTGCCAGGTCAGCCTGGGATACACACAAGACCCTGCTGGAAAAAGTCAACCATCATCAACAGCAAAAGAAAATAGGGCTCCTCTCTCCCTTAAGTTGGAGTCTATAACTACCTGAAAAGCAGGATGTGGCAGATTTGCTGTGGCAA